AGCGGCATAATTATTCTCTCGCGCATTGACAACCTTTATTTTCGCGAGTTTTCCTTTCATTTTCCCTCTCAGCATTCTCACGTTATATTTTTCTTTTGGCTCCATCTCTTCATCGCATCATTCGCTACAACGGCTACACCTCACTTAGCTGCAGACTGCTACAGACGACGTTGTGACACGCGCATGTTCTGCTCTTTAGCACTGACGTAGTCAACTGACTTATTGTATAAATTTTAATATTTACACTAATAGAACATATAACTTACTCTTACACTATGTAAAAATCATTATTTATTTTTTTATTTAATTTTCCGATAATTTTATAACCAATTATTAATGATAATTTTTCGGTTGCTACATTGATTAGAGCAGCCGGGTAAGAGCCTCCTTAAGTTCGTTCATAATTATTTATGTCGATTACTGTATCGATTTTTTTACTTACGTTATAAATTGATATAAAAAAATATCGTATTCTTAAAATATAATATAACTTGATACCTTAAGTCGCTTTAGTTTTATTGAACAAGATCCTCATATGTTAAATACAGCTAATTGTAAATATAAATAAAGCGTTACAAATACATTTATAAATATCATTTTTTCCGCTGAGTTGTATGTATTTTGCATCCTTATGATATATCTCACTTGATCCGGTAATTTACATTCCATTTCTGGAACACGAAAATGCGATATAAAAATAAAAATAGACATGTAACGAAGAAAATTTAGATCTTGACTTTTTTATCCGAGTATAGAGACGTTACCTGCACACTTGTAAAAGGAAGTGGCGTTTTGTATACGGAGATATATGTGAGGGCAGCGTATATCAATGCATGTATAGTTGTCGATTAAGTTAATCTCCTTATGCGCATTAAGCTGTTGACATGCCATAGTTTCTTCACTATTGAATTGATTCCAAGAACAAGCTTTTATCGTTCCGTATCCAAAATTATGGACCTGGCAGAAATGTCAATAAATCATGAATTATTTGTCAAAGCATATAATTCTGCCAAATAACATTATTTCATTCTATTATCAATAGTTGATCAAAATTAGAAGCATTTCGATAAATTTTTCGTATACACTGTCGGCCAAGAGTTTGAGATCAATAATTGAAAATGTTTATTGTATAAAATAAAATCACAAACTGTGCATTATAATTTAACTAATTTATAACATATTTAACTTATTTATTGAGTCCTAAGAAGCCCCTAGACACTTCTGTTTTAACGCAATCTTAATAAAAATTTTTAGATCGCAATTTATATTTAGGAATAAAAAGAATTGTTCTTTCCAAAAATCTAATTGGTGATAGGGTGGAAGATATAAAAAAAATAAAGGTTGAAAGTAGAAGTAAAAAAAGAGAGTGACTCCTGTCTTTTAACTGACAAATATTCAACTAATAAATGAGTTTGTTTATCTTTTTGAGTAGAAGTTTTGTTATAAATTACTCAAAGAATAATTACAATATATTGATTTTGTCTATTCAAAAAGATAGATAAAATTATTTATTAATTTAATATTTGTCAGTAAAAAGAGTTCACTTACTTCCACTTTCATAACTTTACATATATTTTTTAAGATATTCCACCCTATCACTGACTAGATTTGCGAAAAGAGCAACTCTTTATACCTCTAAAATATTAACTGTGATCTAAAATTTTTGACAATTAAGTAATTTAAATCGACTGACTGGCAATATATAACATCTTTTCGATGTGAACATTGAAAAAACTGTGAGCCAACTCGCTTTGTTGGATTCACACAGCACTTTTTCGGATCAATCATCGAGACATTAATTTTGACCAACGCTTTTTGTCAGATGATGTAATTTCTAAATTAAATAGTTTTAAATTTTATTGCGAAAAATATTACCCTGGCTAGGGTAACATTTTTTTATTATTTAATCTATTGTTTTATGATGAAATAAAAATAATAATGTTAAATGTTTGAGAGTTCGATAAAAAAATATTTTTTAGATAGAAAGAATATTAGACACTTGTTTCGTCAAAGTAGCTATCCTTACATTTAATCACTAATCTAGGTATAGATTCCTAATTTAGCTATGAGTTAATTTTTTCCGACGGAAGACTCTTCCATTCGTCTTCTAAAATAGTCTATAACTCAAGAAAAAAGGCTTTACGAGACCGTAGTCCATTTTCTTGAAATTAAATGATGCTACGTTTAAACCACAACTATGTTAAATATGTATATGCTTATTTACTTTCAAGTTAAGAAAAAATGAGTAAAGCATGAATCGGATTTTTAAGTAAAATTGCACTGAAATATTTTAAAATTTTATACATGGTCTCTCAAATTTTTGGCCGACAGTGCCAAAAATTTCTTTGCATTCTTATTTTCTTCGTAGGAGACAAAAAATTATATAATTCCTTAAAAATACTGACTGTAATTGTTATCTTCATATTAGCTGTGTGTTGCGAATGCAACATGTATGTAATTGATTTTGAAGGACTTATGTAATTTTCTATTTTATTCTTGAATTTTGATGGTTCTTCTGTGTCAAGTTTCGACACAGTTACTGGCTTCAGAGTTCGCGGCACTAAAATATAATGCACGAGTATTTATTACAAACATATTATAAATTATACGTATAAATATGATTAATTTGTTTGCAATTATTTGTTTTGCAATAATTATACAATACTTACACGTTGACAGGTATTGTGCGATGGCATCGATATTAGGGCCAAGTATTAAACGATCTTGCTCTGATAATACAAACGGTTGAAAAATACGTGAATTGTATTCCGACACATAATATAAAAAATATAGATCTGTAATATTATAAAAATGTTGACTAGGATGCATTCGAATATCTCCACTATATAAATATATTTATTTTGTTCTCGTTTTATATTCTCTTATCTTTTTTTCCAAAACACGAGGGGATGTTTATTTACTTGTGAGCAAAATGACCCCTGTTGAGCTGGCCCCCCTCTCATCTTGCAGAAATTAAAAAACAAGCACAAAATTACAAACTATGAGCTTTCAAAGTTCATATCCCGCTAATTAAAATTTTTTAGCTTGTTACACTGGGCTGAAATTTAATATTTTTTGTGGAGGGGGGCTGAGTCAACGCCTCCCCCCATTACTTAAAAATAGAAATATTGAATCAATCTTTGCGGCAGAATTAAGAGCTATTTATGATGAGCTTATAGTTTCGATTTTTGAGCTCACCCCTTTAATCCCCAAGCAACCCTTTATGGGAAACCGAGGCGAAGTTGTCACTATTTTTTCGCTGCCGATTTTTAACAATAAAACAAATAATTTTAGTAAAATGTGGTATACCGTTGTAAAGAGTCTTGGCTACAAAATTTATACGGACATTTTTGGTCTACGTCACTTGTTCAACTGGTATAGAGTGAAAACGACAAAGGTGCAAAAATTGAAATGTAAAAATTGCCGGGGCGGAGTCGTCACTCTATTCTTGGACTGAATTTTAAATAAAAATTCATAATTTCGATCATGGAAAATGATAGGATACATTTTATTAATTATTTTTTAATAGAAAAATGGAAACATTAATTAAAAACACGATGGCGGAAAATAATTACAAGAAAAGCGCACACACTTATGTGCTCTACGCTCGCACGTTTGTCGTCAGCTCTATTCTGTCATTTCTGAGCACACGCAGCATATATTATCCAAGTCCACGCTGGTATCCGACCACTGCTGCTTCTTTGACTTTGATTTTTGCCCGATCCCTCCATGATATGGCTTGGTGACGACTTCGCCCCGGACACAAGTTTCAACTTTGGTCGCTTATAAAATAATAGAAATCAATGAAAATAAAAAACACTTTACTGGATTCGTGTTCAGCATGCATTACTCTTTAGAATCACTTACTTTGAGATTCGGAGACACAATAATATTTAAGATATTACAAATTTTCGACGCGCGAAAAATTTTACTTTTGACCTCCGAAAACACGTTTGTTTCGATAAGAATTACAACATGGCACATAACCTCACTAAATTTCGTTGGTCATGTGGACACCATAAGCCGCGTTTACAGTATTAATGACGAGTTCACACAACACAGATTTTAAGATAATTGCAATGACGACTCCGCCCCGGTGACGACTTCGCCCTGGTCTCCCCTAATTGATGCAACTCAAGAGAAAAATGTTGAGAAAAGTAAAAATACATAGTATCGTGGATGTATAGAGTATAAATTCAAAGAATAAACTCTTAAAATACGTGCATTTTGATTATTGAGCTATAACCCCTTTGCGAGAAAACCACTCCACATCTTCCCGGCATAACAGAGAACTGTACTTAAAATGAAAGAAATTAATTATTTTACGACTAAATATTGTTTACTAATTTATGAACTCG